CGTCGGCAGGGTGGGGTCATAGATGCTAAGGACGGGTGCCATGAGCATAGCCGTCTTAAGTGCTTGGAATGACCGGCGTGCGTCGTCATCGAATATGAATGGCACCTTTGGCGACTGTAACCTCATCATAGGTGTAGCAATCCTGGAGTATCCGGTGATGAATCGCTGATAGTAGCCCGCCAACCCCATGAATGAACGAACGTCTGTGGTGTTGGTGGGCTCGGGCCATACTCGTAGGGCCTCGATCTTGTCCGCAAGCGGACGGATGCCTTGCGGCGTCACATAGTGTCCCAAGTACCCCAGCTCCTGCTGTGCGAAYTCGCACTTGTCGCGGTTTGCTTTGTACTTGGCCTGTCGTAGCCGCTCCAAAACGGTGCGCAGGTGTTCCACATGCTCGTCCAGACTCCGATTGTAAACCAGAATGTCGTCGAGGTAGATAAGTACGAAACGATCCAGCATGTGTCGGAACTTCGTCGTCATAGCCGCTTGGAAAGTGGCTGGGGCATTCGTAAGGCCAAATGGCATGACCAGCCATTCGAAATGCCCATACCGTGTCTTGAACGCGGTCTATCCTCCTTGCGAATCTCGAGTTGGTGGTACCCTAACTTGAGATCCAACTTAGAGAAGAACTGGGCGCCGCCCAATCGCTCGAGAAGGTTGTCGATGCGTGGGAGAGGGTCGGCGTTCCTGATCGTCTGCGCGTTGAGCTTGCGATAATCGATCCACAACCGCAGGTACTTGTTCTTCTTCCGGACGAAGAGAACAGGAGCACCGTATGGCGATGAGCTAGGCCGAATCCAGCCTTTCTCTAGAAGGTCGTCGAGTTGTGCGCGGAGCACACTTAACTCTTCCTCGCTCATTCGGTAGAYGCAACCGCGCGGAGGTACGGCCCCGTCCTCGAGGATGATCTCGTGGCGGATGGGTCGATCCGGTACTACTCCGTGCRGGCCTTCGAAYACGTCGCTGTAGGYGTCGAGAAGTTCGGTGATGCGTGGATCCGAAGGTGAGTCCGTCGATGAAGCGTCATGGGGCGGAAGGGCGTGGAGAAAACACACCCCCATCTCCTCGATGTCGTCTCTGATGATGGAAGCTCGCATGCTTGCGGCGGATACCACGTGGCAGCTGATCGAAGGATGAGGAAGAGGCACCGTGTATGGAACTAATACTCCGTTCCAGTCACGAACGTGAACGGTACGGTTGAAGAAGTTCACCGGGTGATCCTTGCTTCGCAGCCATGACATGCCCAAGATCATGTCGAATTTGGTGTCCAGAATGGCAAAGGACACCGTCTCACTTGCGTGAGGGGCAAAGTACACTGGGACGACGTCAATGCACCGGTCGATGGACTTGTGCATATGACCGTCTGCCAGGGTGACTTGCGTAGGCTGGGACTTCCTCCGGACACGTGGGCCAAGGTCGGCGCGTAGCATGAAGTCCTGACTGATGTAGTTGCGAGATGCTCCGCAATCGATCAAGGCACTGTAGGTCGCCTCTCCGATCTGAATGCGTAYGTATAGCAATGGTGCGTCGATGTCGTCGTACCGTTGCGTCTTGAACTCGCGGTCGATCTTCGCGATGTAAACGTGAAGGTCGACAACCTCTGCTCCGGCGTCCATCAACGGAGCTGGTACTGCAGTGTGCAAGTAGTCCCGCAATTGTGCCATAAGCACGTTGCAATGCGGTTTCGACAATCGTCCGACCGAGGGAACGGGCATCCACTGGAAGTCCGTGAACGTCAACGGGTCGAGCTCTTCAAGTCTTGACCATGACGTCGAATCCCCGGCGATAGATTGCGGCGAAGCTGCTGAATCGGTTGCCGATGGTGATGAAACCGTGCATGCGGTGGACTGTTGCACGTGGAGCGGTTGGTCCAGCGGTGGAACCAAGTGGACAGCATAGTCCTCGTAAGTGTAACGAGAACCTGCGACATTCGCATCCTCCCCAGATGTGCAGGAGGCCGATAGCAAGGCGGCCGAATCTGGCGGAGTAGAAGGTGGAGTCGCCTCACCTTCTGCGGAACTCAGTTTCCCGAGCTGAGGCGGGGTCTTACATCCTCCTTGCCCTGATCTTGGCACAGAGAGGTCTTGTGCTTGGTGCTGTTGCACCAATAGCAGCTGCCGTAGCGGCCGCGGACCTTGTACTCCGCCTCGGTCAAGCCAAACTTGACCCATGGAAATTGTCCTGGCTGTCCATTTCTTGCCTGTGATGCGGATTTCGCCTTCCCATTGTTGCGGGACTTGTTGTTGCTTCGCGGCTGGACAGCAGCCACCTGATCTCCGTCACTTGATGCTGGAGTGGCTGCTGGGTTATCTCCACTGTCCTGCCGAATTGCAGCGAAGTGTTGCTGTCGCGGATCAGTTTGTACCTTCTCCACATAGGTCGGCTGCCATGGTGACTTCTCGTGTGCAGCTGACCTGTTGGTCTTGATGATCTCTCTCGCCTTGTCGATAATCTCGGCGAAAGTGGAGTACTGCTCACGATCACCAAGAGCCTGGCTCAATGCAGTGCAGGATCTGTTGTTGAACTCACGTCTGAGATGAGTGAAAGGCAGCTCCAGATTGGGCACTGCCGCAATCTTCTGCCACTCTGTGAGCCAATCCCGTGTTGCAGTGTTGCCCTGTGACATGGTGAACAAACGGTTGATGGCGAGTGTCGGCGCATTGTCGACGATGAACCGCTTCTTCCACAGCCGTGTCAGTTCCTCCCATGTGATTTGGTCCTTTAAGTCTGGTACGTCGACGCCGTGGGAGGTTGCTAGGTGGCTCAACCAGGTCTGGCATCCGCCCTTTGAGTTCAGGAACAGGGCGCTGATGTACGCATGCTTGGCTACGGGCAGAATCCTGAGTTGCGTTGTGAATGCTTCCCACCAAAGCACCGGATCCTGCTGCGTGTAGTCGTTGAACCTCTCCAGATTGAAAGTTGGCATCTTATACATCTTCGGGTTGCCATCCGCGTTCGTCGTCTGCAGCTGCTGGACCTCGGTCTTCAATGTATGCAGTTGACTGCTGATGGTGGTGGTCGGCGCAGCGAAGGTGCTGATGTCGCCGAGCATTGCCACTACGTGGTCAACGCGGTCCTCCAGTTGGCGGCTAGAGGGTGCACTGCTGGAAGCCCCAGCAGCTGGTCCTGGTACAGCCTGTTCCAGGTCCAGCAATCGAGCATTGAGTGCCCGAGTTGCATCCTCGTGGCTTTGCACCATGCGGCGGAGCTGTGCCAACTCCTAATGCTGTTGCGTCAGGTCCTGGTACTGTCTCTCCAACTCTGACCGTTGGTAGTTGCAAGCATACAACAACCGCGTCACGAGTTTGGAGAGGAACTCCTTGTGCTTCTCTTCCGGTGTTGCCTCGTCGCCGTTCGGTTCAAAATGCCAGTACTTGAGTCTGTCGATGCTGTTGGCTTCATGCCGCTGCAGCAGATCCTGGGCTTCCTTGCGGCGAGCCTGGGTATCTGCGTCTGCATCGGCCTGTAGCTGCAGTTGTTCTGCTGCTGCTGCCTCTTCAGCCTGTACGCGGGCAGCCTCGGCTGCCAGCTGGCGTTGTTCCTCAGCATCTATCTGAGCCTGGAACCGCTGCTTGTAGGCTGCAAGGGACTCGCTAGGCAGTTGGCCTGGCAGGCCTGTCATATTGCTGACGTGGCACTTTGTTTGACGTGGCACTGTGTCTGATGTGGCACTGCTGATGTGGCACTGTCTGACGTGGCACTGCTGATGTGGCACTGCTTATGTGGCACTGTCTGACATCACTGCTGACGTGGCACTGCTGATGTGGCACTGCTGATCTGGCACTGTGACGTGGCACTGCTGACGTGGCACTGTGACCTGGCACTGCTGACGTGGCACTGCTGATCTGGCACTGTGACG